ATTGCTTTCTAAGTGTAATTATAACAAATGGCATTGTTAATCAAATGGCATTGTTAATCACTATAAATTTAAAGCAGGCTAGTTTTATAAAAATAAAAAATAAAAAAAGTAGGCTATATGAGTGCTTGCTTGATTTACTGCTAATATTTATTAGAAGATTCAAAATAACTAGATTCAAAAAAATATATATTATGAACCAGAAATACAATTATGTTGGGAGGACCCAGCATGTTGATAAATACATTATTATAATTTGTTCCAAGATAGACATCAAAGTATTAAACATGGATGTCAACGTTACGAGTTTGGTGCCATTCCACTAACTGCAGAAATTTTTCATCCCGTGCCCCGCTGAAGGCAGGATGGGCATTTGTCCCATTTACTGTCTCGTTTAATATTTTATATACATATTTTTTTTTGTAATCTTTTTGTTTTTTACCTTTTAAATTTAATCTTTTTAAAAAATAATACTAAATGAGAGCGAGACAAGGCAGCCGATAACCCATCTTTGCCCACCAATCGGAAGAGGAATTTCAGCCCCATTTGGATCCAGTCCGCAGTTCAACCAATTTTTTTTGCTATCACTAATACTAGATAATGCTCAGTAAAACAAGTCAAAATCCTGAGTATTATAGTGGCTCAATTTTGTAGAATGTTGAGTACCAAAAATGGCCTTAGAGCATGGGAGTCAATTTGGATCGGGCCATGTTGCATTAGTGTGGGTGGGCGTCCATAGAGGCCTGTGGCCGAAGGGCTATCAAAGAGGCCTGGCCATGAGTCTACCCTATTTTTTTTCCTCGGCGGGTGGGAGATGAATGTTTAAAAATGTAAACATTTGACAAAAACCTAATTTTTCATATATAAAAGAATTAAGAAATTGAAAAAAGGAAAAAAAAAAAAAACATAAATCAAATATTAAGTATCACCAAATCATTTTTCAGACCTTAAGTTAAATGGAAAAATCAGGTATTTATTTATCAATTAAATATAATAAGGTCACAATTATACAATTAATGGTCACATGTATATAATTATAGGTCACAGATTATTTCGAGATTACAAATAAAAAAATTTATAGGTCAATCTATTTCATTGGTCATTGACAAAAAAATATATATAAGCCACAATTTATCTATCGGTCACATATTTTTAAATTTGTTGATCACAAATTATCAAATTTTAAAGCCACATTTAAATAGTTGGTCACATATACCAAATAGCAAGTCACATACCATCGTAATCAACACTACCGCCACTAACACTACGATGGGGACGGAGCTAGGAACTTTTAAGTTACAGGGGGCAAAAATTTAGAAATTTAATATACAAAATACCTACTTAGTGCTTATATAGTTTGTTAACGACAACGTGAACAAGTAATTAGATGAATTGTTAAGCTTGTTTTGATACTTTAAAAACAAACTAATCAAATACCTATTTAGTGCTTACATAGTTTGTTGCCGACAACGTGAACGGATAATTAGATGAATTGTTAAACTTGTTTCGATACTTTAAAAACAAACTAATCAAATGCCTGTAAACAAATTTGAACAAAAAATTCATTAAAAACTAAAAGTTTGCAACAATTAAAAATCATAAATATAATGTATAAAACCATAAACATTACATAATTAAAAAATCATAACATAACCAAATATAAAATAAGAAACTGATTTTACAAATTGTGGTGGGTTGGTTAATGGTTGGTAGGCTAATGGACTAAAATTAAAATATTTCAAAATTTTTTTGGGACTTTTACTGGACATGGACTTGGGCATTACTGGGCTATATCCCAATAGCGCCCTCCCTTCCCTCCATCTCTGCACTACGACCACCCTCACAACATCGTTGCCGCCACCACCACTAAATCCAACACTAATGCCACCCCGGCTGCCTGTGAACAATAATATGCAACATTACCACCACCCAAAATCAACCGCCCTCATACCTAAAATCAACAGTCGAGTCGACCAATAACACATTACCATCTCCTTCACCTCTACCACGCTACAACTATCAACACCAATGCAACAGTCACCATCATCATCCGACATTCGCTTAGCACCAGCAAAGTCGTCGTCGCCACTTCCTTCACCAACAATCATAATCACCATCACCTTTGTCTCCATCCCATTTCCACCACGCCACAACCACCATTCCCAACAAAAAAATCCCCAAACCCGTTGCGCCACAATAATACCACTATACACTACCATCGCCTATGTTAACAATCACCACCATAACCTTCTAAAATCCATCATCTCCTTCATCTCTACCACACCAAGGGAAAAGATGCAGATTAAATAATAGAAAATAGATCACGTTGCGCGAGGCAAAGAAACAACGATGCTTGCGGTGCACCGCTGCTAGCAAGTGCTCACGGACAGAGGTCACGCGAGCCGCTCATCTTACAACAACGCCGATCTTCTTGCAGCGATGTCAATCTTACAATGGCGCTGGAATAAATATAGTGGGTAGAAAGGGAGAAGATAGAGAGGAGATGGGAAAATGAATTAGGGTTTGAAAATGACATTGGGTTGGGATGGGTGGGTGGGATAGGTGTACAAATTAATTTAATTTTATAATATTATTAATATTTTAAAAATAAATAATTACTTGATTTTTGAGCAAAAAATGTTTAAACGTTATTTTTGAATTGGGAACTTAAAAACCATGTGTGGATATAACTTCCACTTGAAAAAATGCATTGGTGGACAAACCAGACCGTCTGAAATCTTAAAATAGTTGCCGCAAGGCCCAATACAATTCACGGGCAAGCCTAGGCCTATCCAAGAGCCGTGGTGGGCCCAGCCTTATTACACCCCTACCTTAGAGTACAATGGATCCATGGATACACATCCAAAAAGACCATAGTATGTGTTATAGAATATATGCACAAGGAAAGTAAATGATAGCTAAGGCAAACATAAAACCAGAATTTCAAATTTCTAATTCTAATTTCCAATAATAAAAGCTATGAATACATATGTATCATCACTTCTTGAATAACTCATTATTGGCAGTGTTGAAGCATTTAAAGAAACTGAAGAACTTGAATAACTCATTATTGGCAGTGTTGAAGCATTTAAAGAAACTAAAGAACAGGCATATATATGTATATGATGGAAGGTTCCTATCACACAGCTTACCTTATTTGCCGCTTCGACTAACAAATATTAACATTGAAGTTCGACAAATAACTTGAATTTCCCCTCGGCAAGTTTCAATCAGATATCCTCATTTCGACTCCGAGAATGTCTTTTACTACCTCGTATGACACAAATGCAATTGCTATAGATGGGACCACCTAAAATAAATTACAGTGTGTTAAAATAAATTTATTCCTAATATTGTAACACATTTCATAGAAATGCACGTCGCTTTGAACGTATTTCTCTCCACTTGAGAGTAGTCTAAAAAGCATCATGATATGTTAATTATGATAACTAACCCTTTTATGATTTTGAAAATTTACAATTAACCATAAACACTTTCAGTAATAGCATCAACAAATACTATAGCCTACTTTAGAAATAACCCACAAATTTCATATGTTTTAGGAAAGACAGCCAAGTATTAATAATGTTCGAAGTTAGCCACTTAACCCCTTGAATCTTGATCAATGGTAAGGAGAAAGATCTCTATGTTTATTTGTTCACTGTAAGGGTTATATTGCTTGTTACAATCTCAAAGTTAGTAAGTAGCAACTTGCAACCTTCTTTCGATTTTATTACTACATTTCCTTCTTGGGAATACTACACGATTGGTCACAACCTATTGCTTGAGTAGCAAGTTCTCAACCTTTTATTGTATGCACAATAAATCCTCATTGAAAAACTATCCAAATCTCCGTTAAAATATCATGCAAATCTCACTAGCCCAACTTTATGAAGCTAGACTTTTTTTTCTTCCAATTTAGATCTGTGCCCAAATATTTGAAGTGAGGTGTATGACTTGCTATTTGCTCAATTTTCACTCTCCATTATTTTGGGTGGGTGGGGCCAGGATTAGTTAAGATGTCAAAGGAGTAAATTTTCAGTAGACATCAGGTTATATCAAATCCCACGTGCCAATCATAAAATATGTAAAACTAACCTTGACTGAATTGGGGATCAAGCCCTTATACAGGGCTCCAAATCCCTCGTTTCGAACTGTTTTCCTGAAGGCATCAATCATTCCTGTATATTCAAGTGGGGCTTTGCTCTTCCCGTCTCCAGTGACAACAGATGCAGCATCTTTCCAGCCGACCATCTGCATTCTTCGACGGATGACATCAAGAGGGTAAGCAACTGTCTGGCCAACCGTTCCAGCAGCAGCTCCGCATGCAAGCTTTGTCGTAACACTCAACTCAGAGTCTTCATTTAGTCCAAATGGTTTGCTTCTGATCAACCAATCTTTCAAAGATTCATACACTGCAAAGTTGAGACCTACATAGGGTATCTGCAAAAAAGACTTAGCGCATTAGGCCTTGCTAATAAAAATTAAAGTAGAGATTTTTAATGCTACTGATGGAGATCCTTGGCGATAATCTTGGAAGACTTGCAAGTTGCAATTATCTAGACTATCACTTCAGGATGAAGAATAAATATTTTGAAAGTCACTTCGATTAATATTATTTATTTCCTTTCCATAGTGTAACTAGCTTTAAATTAGGTAATTTTCCAATTTTGTTGGTTTGGGAGCTCTTTTTTTACTAGTAATTTATGTACAAGTACTTATAGGGTTTTTTCTTTACAGATAGACTATCGAACAGAATTGAATCGATACTGAAATTTTTCCTCTTCTTCTTTCTCTCTCCCTTCTTCTCCGTCTTTCCCCCTCTTATTCTCCATATTCTTCTGTTCTATACCGTGTGCCACATCAGCTACTAACCAGAAAACAGAATGATTATGGAATAGTCCAAAAAACCAATAAAATTGCTACAGCTTGGTCCAATAATAGAATATATACTTACAACTCCTATCACAGAAGGAAGCCATCCTTTATACAGAGCACGAGGGCCCTCCTCAACAAAAACAGTTTTAAGAGCATGAAAAATTCCCCTGTACTGTGTCGGAGACTTGTCTGTCTGCAAATAGAAGTACAGGCTAAAAAACTCAGTCATCAATTGTCTAACAACACCATCAACAGCCTGAATTATAGAAGTTAAGAATTCAGAAGAAAATTGCATCATAAGATAAGTGTAAATCGATACCCCTAAGTGGTACCTGAACAGTAAGCCGCCCTCGAACCATGTCCATTGGGTAAGTTGCTGACATGGCAATGATTCCAGCACACGCTCCAGCTCCGAGACGTAGAACTGGAGTGAGTTTAGCATCCTCTGCAGGTGAAATTCATTGGAACGTCAAGTCATAATAAATTCATACCAAAAATAAGTCAACGTCACATGGACCATGTTCACTGGAAAGTAATCATTTTCCAAGGTGTGACATCTTAACAATTGCATGACAGTATACAAGCACTGAAATGAATGCTTTGACACCATAAATGTCAGCTGGAGAGTAAAATTCTGTCTGCTAATTGTTTGTTGCATCTTATAATGAAGATTTTGGTTACAGGATCTTTAAAAAAATAAAATAAAATATCTCAATTTCATAGATATCTGAAACTAGTAATAGCTTTTTAATGTTTCCAGTATCAAGTTCTTCAGCTCCATCTCTACTCATAAGGGGCAATATTGCATAACAGAATTCATGGAGAAAACCTTTAATATTCTCCATTCAACATGGTAAGAATCAAGTAGAGACTCTAGAACATTAAGTCAAGCTATTGTTTAGGGGCAGGGAATTTTGTGATGATCATGAAAATAGAGGGCAATTATAATCAATGTATTGGCCATGAATGTACAGCATGCTCGGCAAAGCTTGTAATGGCTTATAATCTGGCCAAACTCTATTTTTATCCACAAATTCCATATGACCAACAACTTTTATCCACTTATTATTTATATATTTTGTAGGACCCATAGCTTATAAGCTATTATATACTTTGGCAAACATGCATATAACTGATGGCATGTATTGCCCGAACCGGCCGCTGGATCAAGAAACCTGAGGACAAAACAATAGCACACTAGATGCATTATTTCTACCTTTGATAGAGTTGAACTTAAGCACCACACATGCCTGAGCAAAACCATAGAACTTGATGGAGTACTGAAAGAATTTTAGACACAGTAAAGTATAAGTGCTGGAGTGACACAAGCAAGAAAAAAGAAAGTGGATCATACCATTTCCAGTTTGCCGACGATATAACCACAATATTCCCCTGTACAAAAGAAAACATTCATTTTGAGTCTTTTACATATACTAAGATATAAAAGATACATACACGGATAGATAAACTCTAGCTTTACAAGATGCCAGAAGCTAGAAGATGTTTACCACAGGAAAATATGTGTGGTCGACTAAAATGTGAGATAAAAAATGAGAATAATTGCCAAGTGGAGGTGGAATGCATTGAGTATAAATAAAGGGAATGATACTTAGATTATTAAGAAATGGTTTCCAAAGACCCAAAGAGACTCCTTCTCGTAAGTGTGTGTTTGGGAGAGATTTTCTAAAGTTCAAATGAGCATTTTGGAGGAAGAAAAAAAAATTTCGTCATAACTATGCATTTGGTTAAAGTCAATAAGTACTTTTTGACAAAAAAATCAGCATTTTTAGCTCTTCTATGAAAACTCAAATTTCGAGCTTCTACGAAAAGCTCTAAATTCAGATTTTATGAGAAGTTGAAATTTCCATGTAATGAAAATTTTAAATTTACAAATATATTCAACACATATCAATAAAAAAAAATTAACTCCTAATATTATAAATTAATTTTGAAATCGTTTATCAAATGTTTTATCTTAATTTTTATCATATTGTATCATTTTATGTTGATATTAGCTTTAGTTATATATGTTATGTGTTGGTGTATTAAAATATATTATAGAAATTGCACTTTATGTATATAATTTTGAACAAATAAATTTTAAATAATACCATATATATTAAAATAACTGTGCCATGATTTCTTAATTAAAATATTAATCTTAATAGATTTAATATCATATTGAAGAATAATATCTAGCACAAATGGTGTTTAACACCATTTTTGGTGGCAACACATGGCATTAAATGATACATTCAATTAAATAAAAATTGAACATATTATTTGAAGCAACTTAGACAAGTGTTAAACACAGCTTGTGCTAGATAAAATTACTTTATATTAAAATAAATCTTATTCATGAAAGAAAATATTAAAAAGATATAGGGAAAATAATTAATATTACACAAATAAATATGTAATTTATACAAAAGTACTTTTATGTTGCCAAATAATCAATTTAAAGTTGAGAGCACTTTTCGGATTGACAGCCAAAATAACAACTCTTTTTGAAAAATTCTAATGCTAAAAGCTCTGTCAATAAAAACTCTATTCACAACAATTGTACCAAACGTGCCCTAATTTAAAAAGTAACGCGATCTTAATAGAACAAGTCAAAACACTAAAGGGTAGACCAAATTAACAAGGCGTGCAGTAATTGCTAAGGAACTAGTTGGTATGGATCTTTAGTGGATCTAGCAATGAACTAAATGGAGTCAGAAAAATGATTCATATAATCGACCACAAATTTATTGCTATTGTTGCTGTAAAGTGCACTTGCAACATCTATAATTGTGATGCATCTATGAGTGACACTACAACAAAAAGTAGAAGAAAAATAAAAAACAGCAACCTACTTTGATGCCTCCTCATAGCTAAAGAACTTGACAGCAGAGTTTGGGACTATGCGTGCACAATTAGTGCCATTTCCTTTGAACAATCCCGTGAAACCCTCCGTTCTCCATATGTATTTTAATCCCTGCACTGTTCCACTATATTTTATACTGTGAGGATTTTGGACCTGCAGTTTTCACGAATGAGTAAATTCCCATTGATTTCCCACAGAAACAAGGAAAGACTCCAAAAAATAAAATGCAATCGCAACAGATCAACTTAAACAACAAAATTTAGATCACAACTAGGCCTATTGTTTGAATTTCAACGAGGAATATGAATGTCCCAAATTTGTATCGAAACCTGCACCTGTGCGTACTTACCAAAAGCACTTTGATGTGCAAGTCTGACAGATTTTTGCGAGCAGAACACTTAAATGTTGCCTTTAAATGAAAAGGATACGACACAAATTGAATCCCAAAAGAGACTGTTGAAGGGATTGTGTATATAAAGGATAGCAATAATGTGGCTGGGCATAATTTGAACTCACTAGACATCAAAACACAGAAAGTAGAATTATAGAAAGGATAAACAGCATATGATATCCTATATCTAAAATCTAAACTTGCGTCCTAAGGAAAATCAAGATCATAGAGCCAAGGACAGGGAAAAAGGCACAATTGTACGACTAAATAATGTCACAAGCAATGGAATCAGTGCCTCAGGTTCCATCTAAATGAGGTATGGAGGCAGCCCTTACGAACCCTTTATGTTAGTATAATCACTCTCAACCGTGGCCCAAGTTTAAAAATTTGATAAACTAACATTTCACTAATAAAATAATTATCATATTCACCAAGATTCCAAAGCTAAGATGAACCCCTGGATTATTTACCTGAAGCAAAATTTTTAAACGTTCTAATGGAGCAACTGCAGTCCGCGACCTGTGACAAGAATACAATAAAAATCCAATAAGCAAGACAGATATTCAAGAGCAGATCTCAGGCAAACAAACAACATATACTTGATTAAATGTTTAGGAAACCTGGGGGGAAAACTAGATAAAGATACGGTTACATGTATACTGACATTAATTTCACGAATGCCACATGGGCAGAGAGGATATTCTGCCTTCATTATTGGCCCACACCAAATTACACCGTAAATTACTTAGTATTCCATGTTTTCTTCTCTTCGTAGGTAAAGAAATAATAAAGTTAGCAATAGATAGATCTATTCAGAAATGGATATTGATCTTCTTTCAAGATCTATAAGCAAGAGAGATTCATAAATACCCCTTCGAAAAAAGAGATGAATAGATATGGCAAATCCAGCTGAAAGAAATGGCACGGGGCTGTACACCTCTTCCCTTATCTCCACCCTTTTAGATATGGCAAAAGCCTGATCCACTAGAAATATTCTTGTTTCCACTCTAATGCCTTACAATAAATGATGACGTGATGACTCTCTTCTTACCTCACAGAAAACAGTAACCAATGTTTTCCTATATCAACTCTTCTGTCGTAGTTTACATTATTTGTTGTTGAAAAAAAAGAGAGAAAAATTAGTCAAAGCATATCATGATCCATTCTTTTTATGCCTGTAAAGAAAAGTAACCAAGTAATGCTCAAGCATTCAAATGGTAAACAAATTGGCTTCTTTGCACAAAATTTAACAATTCTCTTCTTCTTTATTTTTCCTTTTGCTTTTATCTTTCAGAAAATCTACAGCTCAAAATAATATAAGGCATGCAGATGAGAACATGATATTTCCATCTCAATAAACATATTTTTTTTATTTTTTTTTTTACAGAAAAAACTAAGAAAAAAAGAAATCAACAATTAAAAAAATAATGAAACCAGAAAGAACTGGAAACTAAGCAAATTTACAGATACTCGAAAAGAAATATTCCCCATAATTAAACAAAGAGAGATGCTGGACGGACAGGGCCTATTGGAGCCGGCGCGCCAATTAGGCTCCCTGTTTGGTCCCAGTATCATTTTCCTTAAACAAAACATTAGATTTAATTTGAAGGGGAAAAAACACACATCCTCACAATTCTATAACGCTTATGTACGAGTACGACTACTTCACTAGATTATAAAACATCATGAAATCCTAGGCATGTGTATCTGTAGGCAAGTGTCACTAGATTATAAAACATCATGAAATCCTAGGCATGTGTATCTGTAGGCAAGTGTGACGATCACATGTGTAAAAACATATACGTAACATTAACCGATAAAAAGCAATAAGATGCAGACTGCATTTAAAAGAATATATATAAATGCATAAACACACATATAAATGTATATCAGTATATATATGTTTGTCCAGAGAGAGAAGTTTTAAGAACTGACACTCCGCCGGCGACGCCACCAGCGACTAGAGATTTACAGATGCTAAGGAAAGCGGGACTGGGAGCTTTAACGCCTTCACGAAAATCCTGAGCTTCCTCCGCCAGATTTACAATCGTCGACGATACTGTATTCTCGCTTCTCTCCTCCGACGCCATGGATAATTCAATCAAAAAATCAACTTGAGAATTTACAAAATCAATACAAAAAAACCTAAACTCCTCGCCGAATCATAGATTAACTTTGAACTGAAACGCCACCCCGGGGCTCAGGCGTTGGAGAGGAGAGCAACGGAGAATCGGAGGTTCCTTAAGAAGGGAGCAAAATTAAAAGCACCCAAGCAGGGAAAATGAGAGTACGGACGAGTTGGAGAGAGTGAGCGGGCCTATTTTTAGTTAAGGCTTAGCCGTTCAGGAAAGAAAATGGATTAAACGCACCAATACTTTTCAGGGTTAATTTCACAAACGGTCATTTAACTTACTTGAAAAATACAAAACAATCACTGAAATTTAAACCTTGCAGAAACGAGTGAATATCAAGTAACGTCGTTCGGTATATATATATATATTTTTTAAAGATTTGATGAAGGTGTAATGATTTGGAAATTATTCTTAACATTTTAAAGTTCAATGATCAATGATAAACGTTAAAAAAGCATAATGATCAGTAGTGGCGAATACAAGATCGGAACTCAGCTAGGGCGGATGGCGAACGTTGACCGTTGACAATTATCGACGGTAATAGCGATGTCATTTATTAATAGTTAACTAAATAATATTAAAAAAAATTCAACACTACAACGTAAAAATTCTACACATATGAAAATATAATTCAATTAGTTTCTTTTTAAGGCTAAACAAAAATTCCCAAATCACAAATCAAAACTCATAAATGATAAATTATAACTCGTAATTCATACAACATAAATTATTCATCATTTCTCTATCATTTTGTCAATTAACTAATAAATTCCCAAATCACAATTCTCATTTCTCTATCATTTTGTCAATTAACTAATAAAACATAAATCATAGATTCATAAGAAATTAAGAATCATAACTCATAAATAATAAATAAGAAAGTGATTTATATATTTACTAATTAGTAATTATGCAAACTTGTGAAGGCAAAAACCCAAAAAAAAGAACAAAAAAAGAAAAAAGAAGCAGCTCACTGATTTGAAGGGGAAAGACTCGTTGCTGTTGGCTGCTCACAGACTTCGCGAGTTCGAATCCAAGAGTCTACCGACGATGACTCGTTGTTGTCGCCATTCGTCCGTCGACAGCAATCAGCAACTGCTTGAGCACTGCTTCTCTTCGGCCTTCGCAAATTACACAACAGCGACCAGGAGGTGGAAAGACGGTGCTTTGCCTTCTATTGGTCAGTCTTGGATTCTTGTTGCATATATCGTATGGATTGGGCCTAGTTTAAGAGGGGGGGGGGGAAGGCCCACAACAACCACAAGCATGAGGCATCAACCCAAAAAAAAAAAAAAAACGAATTTCCCAAACCTCACCTTCTTCTGCTTCACCATTCGTCTGCGGTCTACCTCTACAACTGCAACTGGTCTAGCACCTGATGGATACTCAAAGTTCCGGTGGAGTCCGGCACGCGCGGCCACGCCCCCCGTCGAGTGCTAGCTCCGTCGCTGATGATTAGCAGGACATTTAACCCAAACACATTGATATGCCCAAAATATGCCTCCGCTTGGCTCCCATTAATTTTTATTCTATTACATTTCATTTTTCTCTCTTTTATTTTCAATCACACAATCTTACACGTAAATCGAAAATTTTTTCTTTTTTTTTAACTACTTATTTTAATAAAAAAATACTATTCCACTCATTAATTTTTCCACAAAATGGGAACCAAACGGAGGCTATTTTTTTGGGCATGTTTTTGAAAATTGAAAGTTTTCAATAGATGGACAATATAAAAACATGTTTGATAAGTGTTCATAAATAATTGAAAATGAAGGATAAATAAGTGGACAGTACTTCTAAATTTCTCGAAATATATTGATAAAAAAGTGAATTAAATGTTTATAAACAATTTATAAACAAGAGCCAAATATAAATTACAATTGCATTGTTTTCATTTTGAACACGTATTTTAAATGATTTCAAATATATTTTGAAATAAAAAGTTTTGAAAAGATTTGTTAGTAGCGTGTTTGCCAAAGCTTATAATTGCTCACGAATTAGCTAAACTCTATTTTATCAATACGTTGTGACTCACAATTTTTACCCACCTTTAATCACATGTTCCTTGAAATTCACTACTTATGAGTAGGGACGAATTCAGGGGTCGAGTTCAGCTAGAGCGGATCATGAGCGTTGAAAGTTTACTGTCGACGGCCAACATCCGTAATAGCAGGGTTGTTTATTAATATTTAATTAAATAATATTCAAAAAATTGTACGGATTAGAACTAGAAGAACGTGATATACCACTAGAACTAGAACTAGGTACGAACTTTCATTTTGGATGAAAAAATCTTTTCATAATTTGCAAAATGCCACAAATTATTTTTTAATTAAATAGGCAATATATATTAACAAAATTAAAATATTCAATTTACAATTAAAATTAATTAAACAAGTATTATTATGCCCCTTGTTTGATTCTCATTCTTTGAAAAAAATTCATTCTTAAACAGTGTTTTGACATCATTTCAACCACACATTATTCAATAATATAATATTACATGTAAATTCAAAACCTTTCTTTATTTCTTAAAAACACATTTCCCATCAATACACTATTCAAAAATTCATTTTTATCAAAAGAATGGGACTTACAGGGGCATACCAAAATTGAAATTATTTATGTACTTATTTCGATTTTATGTGCTCGTGTGATTCCACTTTTTTGCAATCAAGTTTTTGTTAACAAAAAGTGGAACATTTCATTAATTAAATAATTTTTGTTGAAAGATTCTTTATAACACTAAAGCCAATTTTTCTACAAATTCATCTACTATTAATTGACCAAACTCTCAATCAATTTATTAGAGGAGAAAAAAGAAAAGAAAAAGAAAATTAAGAAGAGGAACAAAGCACCGTTAAAATGTTTCTACTAATATTAAACCAGTAAAATTGAACATATATTATTTTCTCACATTATGTGCTAAAAATCAACTAGTGTTGTGATGGTAAAGTGATCAATATGTTTAAAGAAGGTAGCAAGTTCGAATCACCTTCCTTACGTTTGCTTTGGTAAAAATTGTTGAAATACAAAAATTAAAAAAATATAGCTCTTGAAGAGTTTCGAACACAAAACTTTCAATTCAATAGTAGAAGGGCTAACCGGCTGAGTTATAAGATATGTTTGTTTTTAATATGAATGATCGAATATATAATTTAAAAATTCTATCTATTATAAAAATAAAAAATATTCTCTCTAGTGAATCCAGCTAAGGCGGCCGTGGTCTAAATCCGCCATTGCTTATGAGAAATAAATTTTTTTGAAGAACATGCTTGAACACTTAATGAAGTTTTTTTATTACAAGCCACTGGTGTTAATTCAATATCAAATGTGTTGTGACTTGTGAGCGTACATGGAATTGAACTGAACAATATATTTGAACATTGACGTATGTCATAAAGTATACTTGGTCATTTATTATTGGTTAGTTTTGATTAAAATCAGATTTTTAGTAAATTTTAATAAAAGTTAATAATAGTTGAAAAGTTGATAAGAGTTGTGGTCTCATGAATTTAATGATTTATCAATTAATTGGTGTGTAATGTCACCGATACTCAATATAAACTAAACACCAATGCTCATTAGATTATTTATCTATTATGCAATTCAATCTAGTAAAGGAATATCTGTAAGAGACCCTTTATTTTTAAAATGCATATTTAGGATTTATAGAGTATCCAAAAAATTTAGGTATTAAAAATTTGTAAGTATTTCAACCCGTTTTTATCTTTAATTCTTAATTTTATTACTCCCAAAAATATTTATCGTTTTTTCCTTTTTTTATTTTCACTGGATTCCCTCCAAGAGTATTGCTTTATTATTTTGCTCCGTTAAAAATTAAATTATTTTGAATACATTTAATTATAGAGAATGTGTCTTCTTTTAGAGTATTTTCAAGAGATTCTGTGTTTTGAAAGAGCATATTTTACAATTTAAAAAGTACCTATAAATTTAGAATGTAAAAAAATTTACATACTCCAACAGTTTCTTTATATTTAATACTTAATTTTATTACTTCTAATTTGTATTTATTGCTTTTCTATTTTTTTTCTTATTTTCGTCAATGAGTCTATATTATTACATTATTTTTCTTCAATTTTCTTTGTATATACTATTTAGTTGGATTAATAAATAGAACATTGAAAAGAGAGTCAAACTCACGCTCTATCTTAAAAGATTAATTTGAAGAGTTACTTAAAGCATAGTTTTAAAGGTTAACTATTTAAAATAGAGAGCATTTTATTTTTAATGAATTTATTAGAGATACTTTTAACTCTTTAAAATAGAAAGAGCATTATGTTTAAAGAGTTCCTTGAAGATGCTTAATGTATTTGGATACTAAACGCATAAAGAATAAGCAATTTATGAATTGTATGGTACAATGTAATCATTGTACATTGGTGCAGGCTTAGCCTGTGTTTAATTGTCATTATTGTATAAAAATGATATTTTGAATAGTGATTTTTTTGCCGAATGTGTGTAGTTAAAAAGTGAAAAAAAAAAATTGAATTTACGTGTAAAATATTTTATTGCATAAACATATTATGGAAAACGAGTACAAGAAATCAATTGTTTTGTTTTAAAAGGGAGCCAAAACATGGGCTTACTTTAATTATACTAATTAAAGTTGAAAGTGCATTGCATGTTATTTTAAAATGCTTTACAAATGCTGTAAAATAAAATCAAGAAAAAGATTGAAGAATTGAAATAACTAAGGATATTAATCCTCCTAATCAAACAGACGAAGTAGTAGTTGATACCAATTTGTTGAAGTATTTGATGAGTCTCAAACGAACTAAAGAAAATAAAATTTAGAATAGAAATTTAAGAGAAAAATTTATACTCTCAAAACTTAATTTCTATTATTCAAATTTTTTGTGATGATGAAATACTATAAATGATCAATTTTTCATATTACATCTTATACATAAAAATTAATAGTTAATACATGAATTTAAACACACATTAAAATTTCTAGATACGTGGATAGAAATAAATTCACCTATAATACTTATAGATTCATGTAATTCAAGATTCATTAAGTCTTCATTAATATGTATGTTAATTAATTGATAATTAATAACACGAAATTCATAAATTATAATGATTTTATAGTATTTGTTACATAGCAATAAACAAAAAGTAAGGTATTATTGAAATAATTGAATTGTAGGAAGGTTAAAATCATTCAAAAATGATTTTCA